TTTAGAGACTCAGTTAAAACTTTACGGATGAAAGATACATTTGTTACAGATTAATAACTCACCACTCTGAAACTCTTGCTCCAGTCCATGTTGCCAAGCTGGTCGGCAACATGTAGCCTACAGCTGAATCGAAGCTGTTTACGGGCTTCTCGCTCTCTCTCTGCTTCTGATTGGCTAGTAGTCCCTAGGAACTGCGCATGTGCAACTCCCAACAAAGATTTAGATACAAGATGTTTCACTCCATAGCTAAAACGAAGCCTTCAACACGGGGTGAAAAGAGGAGCTGCACCAATATGCAGTAAGTTCATTTAAACCATGTGAACCTGTTCTGGTACAACCCCTAAATAGGATTTTGAACCTGAAAATGAGCATAATACCACCTCTTTAATCACAGAGGTATAATATCAGAAAACTGTTTTATTTGTGAATCAGTTTAACTAAGAAGCTGTTTAAATGTTACAAATACTGTATAAACTATAGACTAGGCAGACTATTCAAATCAAATGTCACCTGTAAATATAATCAAATGGCCAGAAGTCACAAGAAAATGCATAGATTTCAGTCATAAGGTAATTCATTGCCTTACGTGTACCGATCATGCTTACTGTTGTGCAGTCACCCCCCAAAGGCCCATTCTGAGTCAGGAAAAACCGTGTGTATTTATTTATTTATTTATTTATTTATTTATTTTTTATGAAAAACCTTCAACAGGAAAACAGACTAAGACCTGGGGATGGGGATCGTTAATTTTTATTGTTATTCATACCATTATTGAGACTGCTTAATGATCCGAGTCTTGACAGTTATTCGGTAAGACGACTGTAGGATACTGTAGGATTATAATTTAATATTTTAAATACAACTAAATGTTTCTAGAACAGCAACATTAATGTTTATGAAAAGTCAATATCTGACATCACAATACTGAGTGAGTGATGTTTAATAAGAATGAAGAATACAGACATCAGTCAGCATCTTCCTCTTCCTCCTATCTGCGGTTCTCTTATTCACTGCCTGTAAGTAATGTTAACTGGTAGAAGGAGGAGCAGCTGGTTTGTCTCAGCCAGCAGCTGAGTTTACAACAATGTGCCACATTTTAAGACTAAAGACAGCCCTCTATTTAGCTTGTTTGTTACATTTGGCTAATGCCAAGCTAACGTTAGCTCTGCTTGTATAAAACAAACCGGATGAGAGACTGTGGACAGAGCAGTTTAAACTAACCCTTTCTACATGTTTACCTTACACACAGGTGTGTGTGTGTGTGTGTGTGTGTGTGTGTGTGTGAGCTGACAGAGAGGAGCAGAGGCTGCAGCCTGATGATCAATATTCCCGGGCTCATTTTTAATATATCGCGTTTTGGTGCCATCAATAAATAAACATTAGTTTTCTTTTTCATCGCATTTCAAGTTAAGCCAGATTTGACGCTCTAGACAACGTTGCATTATAAGACCCTTTAGTTTCAATAGCAATATCGATAAGCTCGGACCTTATTGATTTTCGGGTTTTGAGAAAGTTTGGAACGGGGTCCTTTTAGAACCGGGTATTGATCTCCATCCCTAGTGAGACCTCTTTTAGGCTGTGTCCTGTCTAAACAAGTTAACATGTACAGACGCACAAACAAATGAAAATATAAAAAGTATTTAAAACGTAAAAAACTTGCTTACTAAAGCCGTTTTTCCATTACCAGTAGCAGCTCAACTCGCCTCTACTCGACTCGGTTTGGCCGCGCTCCGTTTTCCATTGCAGATAGTACCCCTCAATGTAGCTGGTCGTCATAGCGACCCCACACACAACGACCGCAATGTAATGTTCAATGCGACACATACACCAGTGACCCACACACAACTGTTGAGCTAAGTTAAAACCTAAAATGTTTCAACATTACTCCAAATATAAAGACAGAGCGGTATGAAAACCTTCTAGCTGTGTTTTCCGCTGCCGTTGTTGCTGCAGTAGTCTCTGTGACAGTTGGACCAGAGCGCTCTGAGTGGGCGGTTGGCCGGCCTTGCGAGCTCCTCCCGCGGGTTGGCGTAGGCTTCCCCCGCCGCCACTTGCGAAGCTCTTCAACTATGAAAACTTTCAAGCACATTTTTGTTACGCCATCAATTTTCATAAAACTGTCACATCATCTCAGCTCGCTTGGAACCTCAACGAAAAAAAGTACCTAGTAGCAGCTACAGGTACAACTCTTCCCCAATGGAAAACCAGAAAAAGGAGAGTAGTGTCGAGGCGAGTCGAGCTGGTACCATGCAGTGGAAAAGGGGCTTAAGACCAAGAAGTACATTCCAAGGGAAACGATTGTAAACCACATCATAATGCTTCTGCATAACATTTCTAAATTGGGTAAATGTCACCAGAGTGTTTAACTTGAGTTTGGTCTGCAGTTTGCTCCAGAACTACGGAGGAGCAGCAATAGAAGACATCACTGTGTCATCAGCATAAAAATGGAATTTACAGTATCTGAAACTGTAACATATTTATATAAAGTGAAAACAAAAGTGGACCAATTATTGAGCCCTGTGGCAACTCTTTACGTATGTTTAATTGCTCGGACTTCATGCCGTCCACACAAATGGCTTGAGTTTTATGTTTAAGATAGTCATAGAACCATCGGCAGACATCTGCGTCCAGTCCTATAGATGATAGCTTACTCACGAGGATAGCATAGTCAACAGTCAACAAGTGTACAAACAACGCAGCACAATGCTTTACATCATCACGGTCAGGCAGGGGAGGCCAGAGATGATGTTCATTATCGATCTATCATCACCTCCCTTATGCAATGGCAGGACATATGCTGTTTTCCACACCTTAGGTATATTTCCTGTGCTTAATGTTAAGTTGAAGATGTGTGTCACTGGACCAGCAAGGAGGGGTGTCGCACACTTGACTTAAGTAAGAAGGGGTCTAAGCTGTTGGCGGCAGTGGATTTAAAAAAAGGAAAAAAGGAACTTTTGCACTTAGAGCAGCTAGGACCTCTTCTTGTGCAAATGGCTGAAAACACAAATCAGACTTACCATTTTTGCGGGAGGCTAATGGTTGTGGAGGAGACAAAATAGACAGGATGATATACCATCATATTGTCTAATAACGCACAATGGGGCCTATATTATTGTTATTATTAATATTATTATTATGTGTGTTATTCCTGTGGGTCACTGGAAAATTCCATTGCGGCGCTCAATCAGTGTTTCCTGAAAAACATGTTTATTTTTTAGGAGTCTCCCTCTTCCCGGTCTATCTCCACCCCCTGCTGGGATGATTGACAGATTTACTGACTGACCGAATACAAAACTGCCAGATTCATCTGCTCACTGCCGGGCTAAATGCGTGGCTAGTATACTGAAAGGGATAACTAACTAACTAATGGATGGATGACTGATAGGCTAAAGGCTATTTTTATTTTTTTGATCTGAAATGTCTGCAGGCAGATTTTTATTTTTTTTTTAAATAGAGTTCCTGAGTAATTGAATTAATCAAATGCAGTGTCCTTGTGTAAATGAGTTGACTGCCTGGTGACATGTGTCTGGATGGCTGGAAAACAGAAAATCTAGCTATGTGTTGTTGAGAGAGGAAGTAGAGAAGTGAAAGGAAGGAAGAAAGAAAGCAAAAAGGGGAGGAAAGGAGAGAAAGAGATTATGTGGATAAAGAAGCTCACCAGCAGAGAAAGAGAGAAGTTGATGTATAATGGGTGAAGTGGGTGTGATGGTGGAGTGTCTGCTCTCATCAGTGCTCAGTCTGTGCTGTCCACATGGTGTTTTGGCAGGAGGTTGTGTGTCTAAGAGGTCCAGTAGGGAACATGAGGAGGGGGGGGGGGGGGTGAGAGAGAGAGAGATGTTGAGGTGAAGTCTGCTCATGTGTCAGACCACGGGGAGTCACTGCACACTATGCCCTTTTAAGGAGAGTGACTAGTGTCCATGTGGGGCCTCCATCCATCCATCCATCCATCCATCCACAGCATCCCACCTCTTTTTCTCTCGCTCTGTTGCTGTGCAGGTTCTCCAGAGAAGGGATGGGGCTCAACACAGACGGATGAGGACTATTTACTGTGACAGATGGGACTGTCTCAGTCTCCATCTTCAGTCTTCTCACTTCATAGTTTGTACTGCTGATGTTATCCAAATAAGAAAAGAGGCTTCGTAGCATTTTTTTTTAAGTGCAGATGATTGCATCTGAAGCAGATTATTACAGAATTTGTATTTTTGTGTAGTAAACACTGTGGAGAATGAACACACATTAAGATGTATGAACAATGCTTCCTATTGCCCTTAATGGCCAGTACTTGTGTATATGGGTGAGTTTATTCTTTGTGCCTATATGCTACGCTTTATGGGCTATCAAGTACAGTGTTTGTTTTCAAATTAAGACAGCTTCCAGTTTCAAAAAGACAGGGAACAAAATCTAAAGAAAGTAGATCAAGGTTCATTTTTTTAAAATAAATAAAATGTTGTAACTTTTACTCAACCATATAGTTAAAAGATATGAATGATGACCTTCAGATAATGCTGTGCTTCCTCATAGTTAATAAGTGTCACATTGGATGTGCACCACCATCATTTTTGACAAAATGTGACGTTGCCATCTCTCTATTCATTTTCTGCTTTCACCCTGGAGGGAGTTACAGTACAGTGCATCACGGTGACCATTAGCAGCCGCAGCTTGTCACAGGACATTTAATACTCCAGTGAACATGCAGCTGACAGAGCCTTAATCAGCTTTATTTGGGATATAACAAGAGTGTAGATTTCACTGTTAAATAATTCAGTGGTGTTTTGTGATGGGGAAGGATTGTATTTGTTTGCTGAATGCTTGTGTCAGGCAAAAAGGGGAAGTTGGTTAATGTGGATAGTTGATACTGTACCTGTCCAACACCATATGGGCGCAGACACACGCACATTTTTAAAACCTGCTCTTTGTGACTGTTGGTGCTTCCAGTAGCATTTATTTCCATTCAGGGCATATTGATTTTAACACAAATTTCTTCTTTTCTCTTCTTTCAGAGACAAAGAGAAAGCGGATGATATAGACAGCAACCCGAGGGCCTCCACCAGAGAAGGTACATGACTGTCACGCTCAAGCACATGCACAAATACACATGTTTTTGAGCTAGTGTAGTCATGTTTGAGTAATACCACACTCTGCTGCTGCCACTGAGGCACATCAGCCCAGCAACAATGCTGTGGTTTAGATGATTATAGCAGGATTAGCCTGCACTTGTTGTATTAAACCTCAAATGCTGTTGAACTGTTTGTCCTCAGGGCTGTTAAAGAGAAATACTTAACCTTCAATTGGTATGTTTGCAGAAGGAAAGGGAAAGGTTCCAAAACTTCGTATGTCAGATGCCCAAAAGACATCATAACACTGTTTGACTAACAAATGCCATCTGAAGAGACTGTTCACTTCGCCATATTCCAGCAAAAATCAGAAAGGTCATCACATTCTTTAAATGTCTCCATTTCTAGTGAGCAAAATGGTTGTGAAATTAAGCAACATTCAAGCAGTTTCCAAAATCTTGTATTCAATAAAAACTACTGATGTCACTGAAAGGCTTCTGCTACCAACCTGTCAGTGACACATGGCCAAACACAAAGATTAAACGTGATTCTGCAAATTTAAAAGCTTTTCTTAAGGACGTGAATCTGTCTCTTGGCATAAAGCATTTTTATATAACTGAAAAGGGCTGTGAACTAAAATACCATGTTGCACTGGTAAATTAAATTAAAATGATCATGAGCATGCCAAATAAAGCATAAATAAGCACTTCTCCAGGGAGGTTAAAAATATATTGGCTAACTATTTCAAGAGATTAAAATGTGCTTTTAAGGAAACTTTAGAGACAGTGAAAGTAACTTTAAGAGCAGCTGTTGCTATTTTCTGTTGGTAAGGAGAATAAACTTTTGGCTATGGTTTCTTTGCAAAGAAATGTTCATTAAAGGTGCCCTGTGGAGTTGTCTTGTAAACAAACAAAACTTCTGTTCTATTACATCCCTGAGGTCCAACAGACATGTTGAGTGCATTTCCTTCCTCAATTAACAGTTTCAAATTGTTTTTTTGTTTTTAATCAATTAATTAATCATGATTTGTTTACATCCATGTTTGCTAACTTGTGTTTTTCTTCTTTACTGCCTTTGTTTGCACATTGTTATTTTCTTTGGGGTAGAACAGCTTGAAACCTCAGTTATGCCAACACTGCTCCGTAGCAGTACCAGCAGTCAAAACTTCAACAAGGGTACCTTTAATCAAGGACTTTTGCGAGAATTGAAATAAATCATATATTTGATCATTTGGATGCCTCTCTCTCCCTGTTGTGGGTTGTAGGTAAATAGCACAAATTCTGATATTATGTGCTGATAGATGTGAAGGTACTCTTGACATCTGATAATTGTACTTTTCAAACTTTTTTTCCGCTTACCAATTAAAAGACAAATATTAAACCTTATACAAAATGCTAAATTTCATTCACCACTCTACAAATCATTTGGTTTGTGTGTTGGCAACAAAGGTTGTTTCAGACACTCGGCAGGGAAGGCAATTTAAACGTGGCTCTCATTTTGGTGCTTCAAATGCATGGAGTTTGCTTTAATTATAAAGCACAAATAGCCGTGAGACTGCTGCATGGTTTGGCAAGTACTTTTTGAAGCAGGAGGAAAGTTTAAATTGAGGACAGTGGTGCTGCTGGGGGAGTTTCTGTCAGTCTCTGAGGAAGACTTGTGACACTACACAAGAATATTGGAAAGGCAAGTCAATGATCAAGACAGACAAGTTTACTGGGAAATATAAGGTCCCCTAGTCACACAAATCTGTTTCAATACCATTTGGACATCTGAGGGATTTTATTTTTTATTTTAGCAAATGCATTTGTTTATGCTTGTTCGGGGAGTTTTTTTCTCTGCGACAGAGAGGTTACTATAGCTTTTTTTTGTTTTTTTAAAATTTTAGCGAGACTTCTTATAAATGGCATCATTAAGGGAAATATCTCTTCTCAGATATGTACTTCTTTAAATAGTTTGTAGTTGCAACCTCAGCACATTCTGCACAAAAATATTCCTTTTATATGGAATGCCATATTTGTTAATTCAACCCACGTCAGCTGATGGTAAATACTATGGGAAAGAGGAAAGTCAAAGTTTCCGCACTTTAAGTGCAGGCTATATAGATAAGTGGTTGTGAAAGAGGAACCGAGCAGGCCTGGAAAATTCCCTGTGTACTTTTTACAGTGAAGTTTCATGTAACACTGAACAGATTTTTTTTTTTTTAATTTTGACGGACAAAATTGTCCCCAATATGTTACTGCAGCCGGTTTGTGGCTTTCGGCTGAAACCATCTAATGCACAGATTCTGTGCCCACTAATCATTTTGACACCAAAATATGTGAAAATAGGGCCCAGGTTGAATTCCATACCAGATGTATTATGATCTATTAAAGTTAGGAACTATACGAGTTGAATACTTGCCTGTTTTAGTCATCTTCGCCACCATCTTGACTGTAAGGCAGCCAGGAGGGACAACTCTGGAAAGAAAGAAAGAAACCTGAGACTAAACTATACAAAAACACTTTATTAAAAACATTGCATACATCTATATAAGATAACTTGCACTATGGGGGGGAAAAAAAACCTTTCTCCCATTTATTCCACTACTCTCATGCATAATGCTGGACACAGCACTCCCTGCACTCCCTGTTCTCCACCCTCATGCCCCAGACACACCTGATCTACACTCTTGTAGTTGTCTGTGGTTTGCACTTTTGTACCTCTCAGCTGCACTAAAATCACTGTTATTCAGATGTATGTGTTGACCAGCTGCTGTATTGCCAGCGGCATGCATATAAGATTTTAGGATGTAGCTTGCACAAAAGTGATGGCAGTGGCAATTTGTTTCATCCTGTTGTATCCCACTATAATCAATGGTGTTATGTTGATACAGGTCAGGATATTGCTTTGTCATCTTTCATTTTCTGAAGTTGCATCTTGTCAGTGGAAGAGTTAGAAACCTTATTTCGAATTGCCTTTATTAAATCTGGATACAGATATCACACACGTTTTGGTCAAGTCAAAACTAGCGCTGCTCTGAATTACTGCTTTCTCCATGAAACGTAGCCTCAACTTACAAGAATACAATCCAGTGTAACACTCCTTCGTGTCAATAAACTAGTTGGCTCGCTAGCTATAGTAAAATGCCAACACACACACCTCTGACTCAAAGCAATAAATGTGTTCTCTGGAGGTTGTTTAAAAAGAAATTCTGGTGTTGTGTAGGAAATGACTAATTAATGATATCCAGTAGTGTAACAATACACGAGAGATTTTCTTTAAGGCATCTTTTACAGTCTTTAAAATCTGATGGGTTTTTTTCTCTGACACACTTTTTACAATAAAGGAAAAGGCATGTAAAACCAAAAATTGTATTACCTTTCACTGGACCTTTTATTGCCATATGGTCTGTGGTCTCTCTAAAAAAGAAACGGTCCCTTTTTAGATGTTGCTGAGAATGATAGTGTCCCTGATAGTACTGGCTGTCTGTGTTAGTGGCTAAAGGATACCTGAGGGGAGTACTGCAGCATGTGTACCAGCATGTCACCTTTTACAGTACAGCTTTATTCCCTAGTCAGTGAAATGTAAATGTGAACCAGCACTGCCACCTTCTGGTACAACCATGTGTCTAAACACCAGATTTAATCATGGCTGCATGAAATTGTTAAACAGACTCATAATAAAATTAATAATTTCTCCAGAATCACGGCTGTTACTGTAGGAACTGTTTTGCAGACTGTTTCATCTGGATTGTCTTGTGTATGAATTTGAGGAGTGCAAGAAGAGGAATAAATATCATGATTGAAAATAGTCGACAGCTTGCTGGAGGCTGTGCAGAGAAATGCAGTGTGATTATCATGTGCACACTGCAGCACAGTGTCTCTTTTGTTGTCACTTCACACTATAACTTCTAAAAATCTAGAAAAGTTGGATCTGTATGTGTGAGAGAACCTCTACACTCTAAACAGATGTTTTTTTTAAAAGACTTAAGTCTTTTTTAGAGTGTGTCTGCCTTTTAATATTTTCAATTGACCTTCAGATAATAACATTTGTTTCCCATCCAACATGAATGTTATATCTGGTTATACCTTTTGAATCCAGCAATGTTCCTATTAACATCTCCATGATGTACTGTGGCGTTCTCCCCTTTACTGTAATCATGGCCTCCTATTATGCTACTGTAAGTTTAAGGCCTGCTGTGATTACAGAGTTTGTGACCACCCTCCATGGCTGAGGAGGTAGACTTTTCCCTGGAAATTGCTACCTACCCACTGCCTTTTGCCTCCAGTAAAACTTTTATGGAGTGTAACTGCCATTTAGGACTACCTCCCTGTGTTTGGCCACGTATAGAAAGGCTTGAATCCAAAACAGCAGAGAAATTGATTCAGAACCTCAGAGGTTTAGTCCAACGAAGGTGGGAGGAAATTTTGCCTTCTCAGCCTCTTTACTTACTAGGAAACACAAACATGCACAATGTGAAGGCGTTGTGAATTCCACTTGTAAAATAAACATCTGAAATGACAAAAATCTAACTGTCTTATGGATAAAATTCTTGCCATGCTCATCGCCAAATGAAGGAAAACATGAATTGTGTAGTACCAAAAGTTCACTTTTTAGCTTCTCTGCCCCTTAGACTATTAGCTTGTTTAAAATAATTTTTAGTTTCAGGAAAACTGTTGTTAAATGTTAGAGTGAATGAAGCACTGCTTTGACTTGCATATAGAAATTTTACAAGGCTTTTAACATTTAACTTTTGTGCAAAGTAAATGCACATAATGGGTTCCCTATCCACGCTCCATTTTTACACTGGGTCTCAGTTGAATTCTGTTTCAGTGAATCAATCTCAGCATACTTGCAGACATTTCCATCTAAAATGCAAAACAAACTGCAAATGAAAGCATTGTGGTTGAAAAGAGAACCGTGTCGTATTTTTCTTCCTCCTTGTTACAATGATTTTAGGTGGCCAATCACAGACTGCTACCAAGCAAAACAATTGAAATGCTAGTGAAGAATGTAGTGACAGTTTAATGCTTTGGCTTGCTGCAATAAATGTCTGAATGTGTGGTCAGAAATAATCACACATAATAAGCATCCAGATTAGCTACCGGGCTGGAATAATAACTTAATTTGAAAATGAATCAGTCGGAATAAATGGAAAGAACCTCTGGTGGATAAGAGTCATATTTGGGTGGGTGCTGAACATATTTTCAACTTGCTTGAAGTTATTGTGAATGTCTCTGTTATGTCAAGTACACAGTTAACTACACATTTAATGTATCTTTTATAAAATATATGTATTCATGTTCATTTTTTTATGTCTGTTTTTCACTGCTGTATTTTGACCATCAGGTTTGCTGGAATGGGTAACCTGCTAAAAGTCCTAACAAGGGAAATAGAGAACTATCCACACTTTTTCCTGGACTTTGAAAGTAAGTCTGGCAGAGGAGTGGAACAAAGGGAGAAAAGATGGATGGAGAAAGAGAGATCTGGGGAGGGGGTGAAGGTGTAACCCGCTCGGCTGTTTCCTTTCTGTCAGCAGGTCTCTGCTCCAGATGACGAAGCCCTGAAGGAGTCTGCTTATGCTCCTCTCAGTTTCTCCTTCGCTTTTCCCCCCTCCTTTTTCTTTACTCAGTCATGACCTGCTGCTCCTTCCGCTCCGATCTGCCATTTCTCTCATCTTTGTTACTTATTGACGGCATTTTAACATCACACATACTTCCTTTCTCTTTCTCTTTCTTTTTTCTCTCTTGCAGAAACCAAATGGGGAATCTGTTAAAAGTGCTCACTTGCACAGAGCTTGAACAGGGGCCAAATTTTTTCCTTGACTTTGAAAGTGAGCGCAGCTTTTGCATGTCCTTCTGCAAGGCCAACCCTCCTCTACATCCCTAATTCATTTTTCCTTTAACCTCTCTTTCGCTGCTTGAACTGGTCAGGGGTCAGCCTATTCAGATATTGAATATTCAACCCTTCCCCCCTTTTGAATTTATTATAGTTCATGATTGATTTCAGTATGGCTTTAAGATCCATTCACTCCATGCCAAGTTGAAGAAGAATGGAGCTGACCCTTGACCTTTGCTGTCTGCTTTTACTAACTTGTCTGCATGCATGCCCCTGTATGTATATTTATAATAAGATACTTGTATGATATATTTGATCATTACTGACATTATCAGGTAGATTTATATTGTTTATTAAACAGTGTTTTCTCTGCATTTAGCCATGTTTCTCTTCCTGCATAATCCTATTATCTGTACTTATTTTATTATATAAACAATATTTGTTCTGTAGATGAATGCTGTTAAGCTAGAAAACATTCCTCCACATCCCATCACTGCAGTAAAATATTAAATCAACTTCATTACTGCTCTGCCTCTTAATGTTATTAGCTTAGATTAGCTCATTTTTAAAACAAATACATCCACTTTTGGCCTTTTTCTAAAACTTCCTACTAAAAAAAAAAAACACAATACGCCTCCACAGTGTCATTTCAGCCACTCTCTCAATGTAGCCAACCTCGGGCTTTGTTTATTCAGCAAAGAGGAAATGATGGGAGTGGAAGGGTTTTGAAATGCAAAACAGACCCCAGACAGAGTTTAATGTCACTGATGCTCTATATTTAGAGCTATTCTTCTCTCTGTGGTCTTGATAGCAAAGGTTGTTACCTACGAAGCTTAAGTTTCCTGCAGAAACCTTATTATTATTTATTGTATTTTCGTCCTTACATGGGCTCCCACAGTATTAAAATATATCCTGGACACTGAAGCAAACCAAGCTAATGGGATATCTGTGGGTTCAGCAGAACAATGCAAATAATTTCTGTCCTTATCGAGACAGTCATTGTGTTCCTACTGTAACCATGCAGGAAATAAGAAAGAGACGACTAGGTTTCAACTAGTTCTGCTGTAGAACTCACGTTTATTTCAATATAGATGTCCAAAATATATATATCTATAAATACAATTAATTAATCATTCTTGTGCGGTAAAATTCCATGAATATTGATGCAGACTTTGAAAATGTGTAAATGATTTGCACATTAACATTAACTAGGTTCTACTGTAGCTCCATGTCTATCCAAGGGCTTGCTCCAGCATGCTGTGGATTAGACTGCCCTGCAAGCATGCTTAAAAATATTTCACTCTAGTGGAACACTTACAGTTTTTGCTGCACATACTGTATACCAATATACTAGTCACCCTCCAAATGTTGCTGCCTTGAAATGCACTGACCATTCAGATTTATTTTTATTGTTTTATTTTTTGTGTTGAGAGAGAAACGTGACTTGCAGTAAATGCATCCAGCTCCAGTGTATTTAGTTTCAGAGGTTAAGACACTTAATGGATAGTTGATTATGAAACTGGTGTGGAGCCATTCAGTCTACAGTAGAGTGCTTTCATTCTTTTATAGACAATTCCAGTATAATATATAAATACAAGGCGTCTGGATGTTCATGGCAGCAACATTTGGTGGCTGACTGTTGATGGACTCATCTGTGGATATACTGCATGTGCTAAAAGCTAGAAATGTTTACTGAAGTGAAATAATGCTTTTAGCTTTTGACCCAAACACAATTCATTGTGCTGAATGTTTTTGTACTCATCTTCTAAAAAAAGAGTTAGAAATGAACTTGATGAGTAACTTTTTAGTGACAAAAATACTCAGCACACATGCCCATGTTCCCCCAGTGATTTTTCTATCATCATTAAAAATATTATTGTTATTGATGTGAAAAGGCAGGAATAATATGTTTTGAAATCTGTTTGCATTGACTGTTACATTAGCTTGGCTAATATATATATGTGTGTGTGTGTGTGTGTGTGTGTTAGATGCACAGCCGACAGAAGGAGAGTGTGAGGTGTGGAACCAGGTGAACACTGTCCTCCGGGACTCTGAAAGCATCCTGTCTGGCCTACAGGCGTACAAAGGAGCAGGCCAGGAGATCAGAGATGTAAGGAATACACACACACACACACACACACACACACACACACACACACACACACACACACACACACACACACACACACACACACACACACACACACACACACACACACACACACACACACACACACACACACACACACGAAAACCTGTCTTCATATCTACAAATCCATTTTCTGTTTTATTCTTTCACTACAACACCCAATAATGAAGAACCATACAATACATTATAAACATCTGATGTGTTCTGCTTTTTGTTATGTTATTTTTTATTTTTTGCTCTTTCCAGGCAATTCAAAACCCTAATGACTTCATGCTGCAGGAGCGAGCCTGGGACTCGGTCTGCCCGCTGGTCATCAAACTCAAAAAGTTCTACAGTTTCTCTCTCAGACTAGGTGTGGTCACAGTGTACAACTAGATGTTTTTGTGTATAAGTGGAAGAATTATTTCAATTCTTTTTTGTATAGTTCATATCATAGTCAAAGCTTTTTAATCTTGTTGATTCACTTTCCTGGTTAAATAAAGGTAAAGTAGTATGCATTGAGGGTTTTGACTTCATTCAGGTTGTCTTTAATTATAATTTTCATAGAAGATATACTTTATTTAATCCCCAGATTTTCACTCTGTTATTATGTTAGTATACACACAGGTCTGAAAGACATGCACATGCACAAACACGACCCATAGCAACACATGGAGAGATGTCAGCTGAGATCAGCTCCAGCCCCCGCAACCCTGTACGCAGGATGTGCGGTTGATGATAGATTAATGGAAATATTTTCTTGTAACTTAAGATTTTCTTGCCAAAATTATTATAAATTTTTTTTAAACAGAAACAACTGAAAGCAGACTGTTTGCTCCGCAGTTGCAGAAGATTCAGCGAAAGACAAAAGCACTACTAGAGACGAACAAAGAATAGCAGTGTTGAAGAACCTCACCAGATATTTTTTGCATGGCCAGAGAATAAGGTGGAACTTTAACTGACAGTAACACGGGTACAAAGCGATTATGGCGACGGAAAACAGACTGGGAGTCGTCGCAAAGTAAATAAGGCGACATGCACAGTACAAAATATTTTAATAAAAATACTGTCAGTAGCTTTGTGTTTTTGCTTTACATGACTGATAAGACCCAACCATGATGCCAAACGTGAGCCTCAGATGTCGGCGTCAAGTCCTCGGTTTTCTTTTTTCTGTACTAATACCAGAGTTTAAAAACAAAAACAGGGTCAGCAGCGTTTTCAATTGTCTGTTTTAAGTGTTCGATTCACTGTCTGGATGGCAGGCGTAAATGTAGCAAGAGTGCTGAGTTTTAAAACGAAAACGTGGTAGTGTGGATGTAGCCTTAGTCAACTACAAAATTAAGTCGTTGCTTCTCTTCTGTCAAAAGTGTGCATGCCCAAATACATTCTGAAGTGGAACTGAAAGAGGTTTCAGGTGTAGCAGGGACTTGCAGCAGCTGACATGGGGGGTGTGTGTGTGTGTCTGTGTCTGCAGAGAAGGCTCTGCAGAGTTTGCTGGAGTCCCTGACATGTCCGCCATTCACGCCCACTCAGCACCTGGAGAGGGAGCAGGCGCTGGCCAAACAGTTTGCTGAGATCCTTCACTTCACTCTGCGCTTTGATGAGCTGAAGGTCTGCTGGAAACACTGAGCTATACACGTTTATTCAAAATGGGTGGCTAAATGTATTCTTGTCCAAACTTTGACTGTCTTGTTTTCCTTCAGATGAGAATTCCTGCCATCCAGAATGACTTCAGCTACTACAGAAGAACCATCAGTCGAAACCGGATAAACAACATGAATGTGAGTCATCCAGAAGTTAGTTTAGATCTAAATTAGCTGGCGCCACGCCAACGCTGAATATAGGGGGAGATGATGGTGCATTGGAAAATGGGGGAGAAAAAAAAAACTCTTGACACCTGTTTTTTATCGGTTTGTTTTTTGCACCTACAGTTGGACATTGAGAGTGAAGTCAACAACGAGATGGCCAACAGGATGTCTCTGTTCTACGCCGAAGCTACGCCCATGCTGAAAACACTCAGCAACGCAACCACAAACTTTGTGACTGAGGTGAGAGTGCTTGCACTGAATCACTGTCAACATGGCAAACCAGCCACACGGCAATTGTTTTCTAACTGAACAAATCTCTGACATACTCATTGTGTAAGGGTTGTGCTACATTTGTGGGGAATGCAGCTGACAGGGTTGTTCAATCAAAAACAGCGATTAGAAGAAGGAGTTAATGTGCTTACTACTACTACTAGGTACCTGTCTAACGAATATTAGAGAATGTGTTGAGAGATGTTTATTTCTGTATTTTGTGTTGTCTGCAGAATGGACAGAATCCAAAACAAAGTATATCTTATCTATCTTCATCATATGAATCCATTGTTTGTGTGTTTTGTTTGCGTCTTCTGTAGAACAAGACTCTTCCACTGGAGAACACAACAGACTGTCTCAGCACCATGGCCAGCGTCTGTAAAGTCATGCTGGAGACGCCGTGAGACACACCCTTATAATTCCTATATTCTTGCAGCAACAGCCTGTGATGATTAAAGCATGACTAAGTTGAGTCCTTGAATTTCATTAGGCAACACGTCAGATCAGGCAGTATCTATCTCTTTCTGTGTTCAGGGAATATTCGAGCCGTTTCAGCAGCGAGGACACGGTCTTGTTCTGCATGAGGGTCATGGTCGGAGTCATCATTCTTTATGACCATGTCCACCCCAATGGTGCCTTCAACAAGTCCTCCAAGATAGACGTAAGACGCACACAGACATCTGTACGATTTAAGACACACAAATAGTGTAATCTGTTTTGGGATGCAGAGATGAGTTGCTGACTGTTCAATTCTTTTCAGATGAAAGGCTGCATAAAAGTCCTGAAGGACCAGCCGGCAGACAACGTAGAAGGCCTCCTGAATGCCCTCAAGTAGGTTACATCCACTCAACTTTGGATTCAGAATGTTTGCTTCTATTACACATTAGGTTCAGACAGGAGGCGGCTCTGCAGCGATTGTTTCGCCGTCTGGCCTATTTTCTCAGTGCGCCGCAAGTTAATCTGGCAGGAAAACGCACTGATAAATCCATTACAAGCTATATAAATTATATATTAGAAATAAATGATCTGATTCCGATAAAGGATGAAATATGCATCACATGCGTGCTAACCCTTTTGATTTTTCTGCCCCTCTCGCTGCTGTTTCAGTTTCAGTGTTGTATTTTCTGATATATTCCACTTCCTTAAATGAGATTGATCATCAGTTTGTTCATTTGTAGAATCTTTTATTTTACTTATTTGTCAAAATTTTGAGACATTAAACCTTTGGCCACTGGCAGCTTCAATATAGCTGTGAAAGCTAGTTCCTCTTTACCTAACCAAGGTTTTTTGCAGTGTTGAATTTGTGAGGTAAACTCAGAGTTTCAAATACATTGATCAGTGTGGATAGTTCATTATGACAGATTTCCATGATGGATTACTGTTTTTATATTTACTTAAGAAGGAACTACTTTATACAGTAAGAACATAAGAAGAAGAAGAACTTAAACTTCACGAGGATCGAAGTCGATCAATCACAAATCATAAATTGCAATGGATAAAATTCCCTATTGGGGTAATACCCAAAACCTGGGATAGTTTCTTATCTTAAATCTATGGTCTTCTTTCAGTTTAGGAAATGATCTTGATCCTCCACTACACTGTTTTGTTTCTTGGAGGAACGCTTGAGTACATGTTCTACCCCTGTAGACTCACAAGCATGTCGACAATGTAAAAGATATCTTCACGCTGTCTTAGCATGAGTGTTGCTACACAGAACAACTGTCTTCATTCTGTAAGCACACCATGCTAATTTATTCTTAAAAACACAACACCTCAGATCTCTTTCATTGTCAAAAGTAACTAACGCACACTGTGATGTTTGCTTCTCCTCAGATTCACCACAAAACACCTGAACGACGAATCCACTCCAAAGAACATCCGGACGATGCTCCAGTAATGTCGGTTCTTTTTTTTTTTCTTTTTTTTTTTTATATAAATAGATATGAAGAGGATCAATGCTCTGACCTCAAATAAGATGTATATGTTTACATTATTTAAAAAAGACTTGATGTTAATACTTGTGTGTATTTGCATAGTCATTCCCTCAAAGCTATTGAACCCTGCAGAACATGTACCTTCTACTTAGCAAAAAAAAAAAAATCTGAAAGCATTACATGAAATGCCTCTACTGTTAATAGCTGTCAAAGCACAAATGATGGACACCTATCAGCCTTATATCACTGAGCAAGCAACACTTCATGGCAGCATAAAAATGTCCTTTAAAAAAAACTTTTCAGGATTTTATTTCACAGTGGAATTATTTAGTGTCCAGGTATTAACCAAATTCAGTCTGGGTTTGTGAAGCAAAATAAATCTTTGTTTAAATTCTGACACGTTCTCACTTATATTACAATGACAATTCAGCACGTATTGAAACAAGTGAAGTTGTTTGTGTGTTTTCACTTGATCTACAAAGAATACAATATAATGACAGAATATGAAATCAATCAATGTTGAGACGGGCATTTTTGTTGCAGTGAAGGGCTTAATGTTGAAAGCAGATAAGGGACTGATCGGTTTGATGTACGTATTGCTAAAAGCATTAGGGTGTTTTCTCATTTTCTAGCCAGCTGTTGTATGTGTCTCTTTATTTTCAAACTCCAAGCTCGTGCAACTGTAAAAATAAATAAATAAAACTCCACTGTGAACATAAAACTTACTTTGCACATCCAGAAAGATCCTGCATGTCAAGGTTTGCTTTAACTTAAGAGGTTTTGCTGATTGGGAGCGGCGTGATAATGAAACAAAATCAAATCAACCCACCAAATGTTTTATTTGAATTGTAGCAGTGCTCTGAATGATAGTTGTGTGTTTTGCCATGTTTTTTCGTGGCTTTTGTATTAAACAGAAAATGCATTTCTCTAAAAAAAAGGCCAAAAAATCTTTTAATTCTGAATAAATGATATGTACTTCTTAACTGAACTTTTTTTTTTTTTTTTTTAAGAGCCATTTTTCTCCCAAAAAAGGAAGAGAAAAAAAAATCTGTTTAACCCTCTGGATCTATTCCCAGATTCACCTTGTCTCCACTGGCGAGACCAATGTTACGAGGTTAATTTTTAAAATATGAATTTAGTTTAACATGTTTGAGTTTACGAAGTCCCTGCAAACTCTGTTAATCATTTTTTAAGTATCAGGCTATGGTCAGGACTGTTTCATAGCCTGAGAAATTATAGTTTGAAATAATTTACACTGCAAAATTTGCCTTAAATTAGACTTCACAACTTTCAAAACTCTTAAGTATGTCTGCCTTCTTCTTTTGTGAGCGTGATCACGGTGGGAATCTGTTGTGTATTAATGGTATAATCGTTCATACTAGCATTTCAACATAGATGTTCCTGATTGTTGTTCATTTCCTCAGTTTGCAGCAGCAGCAGCTCCTAACATACTCAAACTAACCTGCTCATGAGGACGGACAATCTCATCATTGTTTAAGCTAACTTGTTGTTCATTTTTACTATGATCTCTTTAGTTTTTAGTAAAACTGTTGTAAAGCCTTCTACTTTACTAGAGGAATTACTGAGCAGATTTCTTTGTCTGCTGACTTTATCCTTTGCTCACACTGCACCACCATCACACATGTGATCTTACAATATGGAAATGTCTGTGTCTTATCATGGAGCACAACATTGCCTTAAAGACTTAACCTGTGGAACCTGAGAAGACAATATCTCTAGTTTTCATCCACAACACAGAATTACTTTTGTTTTATTTCCTCCTTAAGCCATATATATTTATATACATACACATTAACACGTTAACATTCAGTTAATTAACATCACATTAACATGTCAGGTATTTACCAATCATTAAGTCTGTTGTTAATTTTTTTGATCATCTTGTATTTAGTAATATATATAGTGTGTGTGTGTGTGTGTGTGTGTGAGAGAGAGTCATACTTTGAATGCAATGTTTTATATGCAATGAGTGAAAACTGTCTATGGACAAGAAAGCGAGGTGTACGTATGATACTGATATTTCATATCCGACTGAAGTGGTCCCATCTTCTGTCTTGATTGATGTACACAAAGCTTCTCTCTTTACCCAAGAAATGCTACTGCGTGCTGAATGCAAGGTGTTTTTGAATACTGAGACAAAATCAGTGTGTTCGTCTTAAACTGACAAGTTATTGTTTAATATTTTTGGAGTTCAGACTCAATTGTTTATATAAATTGCTTTGGCTTTGTATTGCATATTGAATTCGATGTGTGGATTGGAAAATAAAGGTGGTACATTTGTTCTTGTGTTTCCTTTGGATTTCTTATTTGTGATATGTGATACATCCTGTGTGTTGGGGGGGCGCTTGTTTATCTCCCATATGTGTCTTTTAATTCAAAAGTGTAAAGCCCTGCGGGGGTTAAGTTCTTTAGGGTGAAAATGAACACGACCTTATGTCATATCTGCATTAATAAAAAAATATTTCATGTAAAATGTTTATGATGCCTGTTATCATCTAAATGCACAATATCTTGCAAAGACATTGCAGTTGATGGACATACAATATGTTCAACTACACCTTCAAGAGTGCAGCTCTAAAGCAGTTGTTGTGACGCCTTCCTGGCGTAGGTGCTGCGCTGCATCCCGTGTGTGTGAAGCAGGCACGGTCCTGGGCGGAACCTCAAACAGTGGTGTGCCTGGGAATGATAGAAATGTTAACTTCATTAGTGATGTTTCCACTTTCGGTTCAAATTGCTAAACAAAACCATTACGGTGTGAAAGAAAATGTCTATTCAGTGTGAGACACCTGATTGGTCAACAGCATGTTCCAACAGTGCTGGTGGTTCACAGCAGCTGCTGTGGTGGTGGGTAGTTTTGATGATGCAGCTGGTTGCAACACCTTCTTAACCTTCAGGAATGCTCTCTGATGTTGGTGCTGGTAGTAGCACATAAACATTTTAAAGGGTCTGTGCTCTAATTACGCAAATCCACAGGTCTCACTGTGAAAAGCTTTTTTAGGAGCTACTCTGTAGAAAATAGTTCCAACCATTGATTTCGTAAGTGATCAGATATACTTTTTTATAGTTTGGGTGTTGTACTTTAAGCTGTGGAGTACCTAACAATAAACAGGATTAATAAACTAATAAACAGACTACAATAAGACTCAACATCTGAAGAAACTGAGTCATCCATACAGACACAGCTCTGAAGATGTATGGTCATATTCATTTTCGTGCCAGTTAGTTCCTCTTATGTGAAGTGTGTCTGTCGTCCTCTTTATATTTCTGTGAGATACTTGTAGCCAGCGTCCCTGTTTGTTGATGCAGCATGTTGACATATAACTTTTGAGACTGCAAAAACAAATTTCCTACCACAGGAATCATGGGATTTGAGTCAATTAAATAAGAAGTACTGTAGGCTAATCTAACTTTACACAGTTCAAGTTTTTACACTTTACGCAGTCAGTTCAGGAAAATGATCGTCCTCAAAACGTAAAGTAAAGAACTAAAACACTCCTAAAGAAAGTTATCATGTCCTAGCCTTTCTAGAACAAAGTATGGACCTTTTCACAGTGAACACTTGTGACAGCAGCAGAAACACGTGTCACTAATGACATTAATGAATCTTATGGAAGAGGCTTTGTTAATGTTTACTACACCTGGACTTTTCTTGCTATGACGTCAAAATGTCTGCCATGAAAAAGTTGTATTTCTTTCAGGGAAGCTGATTTGTCATTTGGTCTGCAGCACAAACTGAACAGAGAGCCTTTCTGGTGCTGGCACAAACATGCCTCACCTCACCCCGCCAATGATACACAGCACTGTGCAAGAGTTTTAGTCAGGTGTGGAACAACGATGTAAAGTAGGAATGCTTTTAAAAATAGACAGATTATATTTATCAATAAAGAAAATGCACAGTGAGTGAACAAAGAAAACTCTAAATCAAAACAATATTTGGTGTGACCACCCTTTGCCTTCAAAACACCATCAATGTTCAGCCTTTTCTTACCGCCAACAGTTCTGCCCAGTGGAGGTACATTAGTGGAAGGAAAGTATTAAGATATTTTGGGTGATAACCAACCACAGCTTGTTTTGTGTCAAAAAGATGTCTTAATCAGATGCAACATACAATAATAATAATAATGCTTTCCTTAAAAAGAACCTAAAATGTGCAGAATCAATAATTTAGCTCCAGTCAGGTTTAGTGACAAGAAACAAAACATTTCTAACAGGCTCACAGTCTGCACAGTCTGCGACTTTCTTGCAGAATCAGTCATTTTAAACCCATAATTTGTCCTGAATACATTTCTTGCTGTGTGGTTACATCATATTCAGGCCAGAGGGGTGGAGGAGCTGGGATTACTTACTGGGAACGCTCCGGTGTGAGCGCGTTGACGCCCTGAGCGCCTCCGCACTCAGCCGGGGAACCGACGATCTCGTCGGTCCCGGACGGATCCCGGCATTCCACTGGGTCAGGCGGAGCATGCTATTGGCAGTCTCCTTGGTGACGGGGTGGTCATGACTGCGAGCCGCCCAAGATGGTCGAGACTGGGTCTCATAATGATGATGATGAGGAGGAGGATGTTGGGGTCTGGTGTTGGAGCTGAGGAACATCTGGAGGAGAAAGTTTAGAAATATGAAAAATATAGTACATTCAACCCCATTCTAGAGTATTCTGTTATATTTCACGTTAGTTCCTGTATCCAGGCAGTAAAATAAATTGGTGATGATTTCACCAAAGTCTGAATATTAAATGCCACCGTGTCCTCTGTCTCACCCTCTGCACCCCCATCATCAGCATAATTTGGTCCCCCCCCCCCCCAATCGCCTCCCTCTGTGGGCAGCTCATCATTAACATGCATATCTGTGTAAACGCTGCTGCATAATGCATGATGCCTGCTGGTTGCACAGTCTCCAGAGAGCCTCCACGTTTATCTTCTCCCTGTGATTCAGACAAGGAGGTCACAGTCACAGTGGGGTTATGGCGCTGTTGATGAATGGAGCATTCTTTACCAGTGATTTGGCTTTGCGGAGTTTGTAATTGGCCTCAGACAGTGTTTTCTTGCCCCCATCGTCTGGCTTCCACGTGTTACTGCGGCAGATGGAGGCTCTGCTTTTCATCCGCCTGCAGAGAGAGCGTCGAGTCAGTGAGCAGGTGGAACATCACGGCGAACATTTCAGTGGATCTGCGGTGCTTTGTAAAAGAATTCAGACATGTCAGTGTTTGTTTTCTGTCAGTTATATTTTTATTATCTGCAGAGAAACCGGCTGAGTGATGAGGGACAAACTGCAAAATGGGGCATTGGTTCTGCAAATAATCCATTAAACCAATAACGCACCATGATGTTTGACATTTTGCTCATGCTATTATGAGCAACACTTTGAGCAACGTTGTACCCTCGAATATACTGTATCCAAGATAGAAACTTCGATTGTTTTATTCCTACTTTCTACTGCATTTGGAGGTGGATACTTTAGTTGAGTTGTATTATTACTGTATGTGTGTACATTTATTATCATATTATTAATACTGTACTTATTATTCATACCAGTACCTCTATACTATAGTTAACACATTCTGGCCTAGCTGGTGTTGCACTACTGGTGCACCTCCAACCTCCATCCATCCATTGTCAACTGCTTATCCTGTGTACAGGGTCGCGGGGCACTTCCAACCTCTTTTGCACAAATATTTGCACAATTCACTGACATAGTCTAAGTTATTGTAATGTACAGTATATTTCACTCAAATAGTTCTTTGTCACAGCCTGTGTATGTGCTGCTGAATCAATGAAGGCTTATGTTTACTAGAACTAGAAGAAAGTACGTATCAGTTGCACATTTTGTTTTTCTGTTGAGTTATTTTGTACACTATTTAGGACTTTTGTAACCTACAGTATGTGGAACATTAGATTCATCTTAGAGAAAGCAACATTTTAGAGATTTCTCCTTTTTACACATCGTTAGAAACTGAAGGTCCAGTTCTTAGAATTGGTGATGTAAATGCATGCGACTACGAAAGGTGTCATGTTCTTAAAACTTTTCATACAATCACCAGACATTTAATGCTGATTAACAAAACGGAAAATAAAATTAACAGAAATATTTTAGGCATTCTGTAGCCTGTTATAACATTCTCTCTGACCAGTGAATTTATGTTTCACAATCTACATTGTGAATGTGCTCAAAACTCACCAAACTTTGCACACACGTCAGGCGGGGTGAGAAATTTCATATTTTATGCACATGGGCGTGGCAAAATGGCTCGGTAGCGCCCCCTACAGAGCAGCCCCCGGCCAAAGTTTCACGTACCTGTACAGAACTGGGAGTTGTTACAACTTCAGTGTACATGCTCACATCTGCACTGCCCTGAACACATCCCATCATTCACTCAAAGCCATAGCGCCACCTGCTGGCAACAGGAAACGTTTTACGCTACAATGGACTACTGCCAGCAGGTTGGCCATATCAACTTCAAATCTGTCCCAGAAAAACCATAACACATTGATGATGCCATGTTGTAAAACTTAACGCCGTGGCGGCGAAGTTACAGCCTTCGCCATGACATAGTAAGTTGTTGTAACTTTACTGTACATGCTCAGATCTGTACGACACACGTTTGATAAGAGTCCCGCCCTGACAACTTAAACTCATAGTCATAGCGCCACCTGCTGGCAACCAGAAGTAACATTTTACAAAGCAGCCCCCGCGGCACGTTTCACCTACATATACAAAATTTCTGTGGCACACGTATCATGTTCAGACGTTCCAAAAAGACTCTTGGAGCAATGCCCTAAACCCAACAAGAAGTCGGCCATTTTGAATTTTATGTTCATTTTTGGATGATTTACACATTCCGTACTTTAACGAACTCCTCCTAGAGAATTAATCTGATCGACATAAAACTTTCGCTGTCTACTCTAAAGCCACTGACGATTGAAAGTGGTACAAACAGGGAGTTTTCATTGAACAGCGTGCCCGTGGCGTAGTGTCCAAAATCGATGATTCGCCATGCAACAGGAAGTTGTTGTAAATGTAATGTACATCCTCACATCTGCACCAAACTTTACATGCTTGATTAGTGTCCCACCCTGAACACATCTACAAGCCAATATTCACTCGTACTCACAGTGCCACCTGCTGGCAACCGGAAGTGACTACATTTATGTTGTCAAGAACCACTTCTTGCAGGTTGGCTAGATGCTCAAATCTGTACCATATTTTACGTGCTTAATAACTTTCCCAACAACACATCTACACGCCAATTTTATTTATAGTGGTAGCGCCACCTACAGGCAACA